GCAGTACTTCCCCCGTTCTTAACCTCGTCCTTCGTCTGTGGTCTTCCGCAAGGAGCAGTAATTCCGCTTGCAAAAACAAACAAGCAGAAAGCGCTTGGACAATTGATGGATCGGGTAGTGACAGAGCGCAGCTCTGAGGGCTTCCATGATGCCGGCTAGTGTAAACACAGGTTGCACACGTGATGTCAGCATTTTTTTGTCGCGGAAAGTGACGTTGCGGACCTTAAAACTCCGGTTTTTTCTGTCCACATGCAGACACCCAAAACGGAGAAAACGCAGATCTTCACTTTGGCCGGAGTTTTTAAAAAGATCCGTTTTCGTGTGAAAAAACTCCGTTTTCGTGTGGATGACAGGCCAAAACGTAGAAAAATATCTACGTTTTGGCAGATCCCCGGCTACGTGTGGACAGGGCCCAAAGCTACAGGTCAGTTTAACATCAACACACAAAACATTATGCAATTTAAATCAGACAGAACAGAGATGGAGAATAACAGGTCAGTGGTAGAAAAAAGGTCTCTGAAGTGGAGGTACATTGTGCAGAAAGTAAGATGTAGGAAGTGAATGAAACTAAAGAAAGAGGCTGCAGATGCTGTAATGTGACACAGGACCCCCCCCCCCCCCCCCCCATCTCACACACACACACACCCTTCACACACTCATACAGTTTGTTTAATGAGCTCTCTGAGAGGTTAGAGGCCATTTAATCAGCATTAGGTTTCCTGACCCCTCCTGTTATCATGATCGGATGTCTCTGTGGCCCGGTGGGGTTTTGCGTGTGTGTTTGGTGAAGTCGTTAGTGATAACACTATCAGCTAGTGTCATCGAACAACAGTTTCCGCCCACAAAAAACAAACAAAAAAGACAAAACAAAGTCCTTTCTGCTGGCAAAGGTCCACTCCTCCAACACAACTCGGATTTCTCCTCAAGGCTGCCTCTGTTGATCATGTGATTGGAGAGAGAAAAAGAATAGGTGTTCATCTTAATGATGAAAGTGTGTGTGTGTGTGTGTGTGTGTGTGTGTGTGTGTGTGTGTGTGTGTTTTCAACAAATTTGTTATGTTAAAAGAGAAAGGGTCCATCCAGTTCAGTCGTCTCAAAAATTGGAGGATGCTGGATTGTCCTGAACTCTCTCAAGCTGTGATCTTCAGCTGTTGGTGAGGAGATTCACAGCTGACTGTGAAGCCACTGGGATGAAGGTCAAAAGGGTGGATTTCCAATTCCGGGTCAGGGACGAGGTCCTACCTCAGGTGGAGGAGTTTCGGTATCTCGGAGTGGAAGTGGGAACAGAAGATCAACATGCTTAATGGGGCCAAACTGGTCTGTTGTGGTGAAGAAAAGAGTTTACTCACCTTCACTTATATTTTATACTTTAAATTTCACCTAAATTGAGTTATTAACTAAAGGTTCTTGCCATTCTTTCGATTTTTATTCCCCTCATCTAAAAAAAGATATTCCTTTGAAATCTGCTTCACACACACGTACTATTTCAATTACAAGACTGTGGAGTCGTTTACAAAGTCGCTGTGACATCTCTGCACAAGCTGCCGTTTCCCTGTTGAGAAACACTAAGCTGCTAACTGCTGCTGCTGTGCTACCAGCTGAGTGAAACATCAAGGGAGGGCATCCTTATCTACCAGCACAGAGGGGCAATGCGACAGCAAACCTCATACAAGACATTAGGACGGAGAGACAGGATGGACAACTGGACGGGGCGATTAGCGCACATGCAGTCGGTTCATTAGGTCTGAACCTCAAATACCGTCCCCTTCTGTCTTCTGTCAAACATTGCTCATATTTTTCTCCTTATTTCTCCAAATGCTGATCTTTCAACTTAAAGACTAGATGGAACAAAAGTGGTCTTGTGAATGACTCAAAATACAACCTTAATGTCTTCTCAAATACAGAAGACGTGGTTTTGTCCTTGTAGTGCCACCAGCTTATGTCTCATGAGATGGAGAATTTAGGGATGTTTTACACCTGGATTAAAAAAAACACCTCTGGGACATTGCTAACAGCTTTTGAGCTATAAATGAAAACAAGAACAATTTGTTCTGTGATTGAGGGAATAAAGCAGGAAAAAAGGGAGACAGAAGTTTTGGATGGAGACAGTCTGGACCGTTGGATTAGAAAGAGAGCCGCCTCTCCTCTCAAGCTCTGACAAAATACTGTGATCTCCCAACACTGAAGAATCTCTGTGTGTGTGTGTGTGTGTGTGTGTGTGTGTGTGTGTGTGTGTGTGTGTGTGTGTGTGTGTGTGTGTGTGTGTGTGTGTGTGTGTGTGTGTGTGTGTGTGTGTGTTGTGTATAAATGTGTCGATCTCCATCACCTCGCTGTCCTTGCTAATAGCTGAGCGGACATCCCACAGGCTGTACTGTGATCAGTGCTGCTCTCCTGTGCACCCACACAAGCTCCAGAGCGGTGTGTGAGTGCAACACACACACACACACACACACACACACACACACACACACACACACACACATATTTATAATTTAGCTGAACCCGACATAAATGCAATCATTCTATAGGAGATGGATGCACACACAAATATTTAGTTTCTGGGTCTGAACAGGAATGAAATGCAGGTTCAAATGTGGGAGTTTTGTGTGAAATTCTATGGATAAGGTTCAAAAATGTTTTTATTTGGAGTAAGTGTGTTCTCCCCCTGCATGCATGGGTTTCTCCAGGTTTGTTTTCCAAAAACATGCACATTCAGGATTTTTGGAGACTGTAAATAGTTCCAAAATATAACTGAGTGTGTGTCTAGTTGTCTCTGTGATGGACTGTGACCATTCCAGGTTGCCCTGCAGGCACCGTCTCCCCACGACCCTGCAGAGGATTCAGCGGTTCAGAGAATGACTGAATGAGAGAGAAGTCAAGTATGTTGGGGTGAGAGTAAACCCTTTTAGACTCGCTGGAGTCCGATGATGTCAACAGGTTGAAAGTCACACCCAAACAAAAACAAAATGTAAACCCAGAGCTCTGACAGCGTTCAAGCTCACATCTCTTCTCACTTTGGGACATTCGAGCACCTGCACAAACACTTATTGAAGGGCAGACACACAAATGAAAAGAGGATGATGGATGGAGAGCTGCTGGTCTGATTTGGTCCCCTAAAAATAAAAATAAAAAACCAGGGAGGTTCAGCGGAGACCAGCGTGATAAACCTGAAGATGGTTGGCCGTCTGTGCAAAAGGCTGAGATTCCAGTGTACTGCACCGTGTCTCCCGTTCCACATTTATGGGAGAGAAACCAAAATATGATATAAAACTGAACTGGAAACACAAGAACAGAGGAAACAACATCACTGGTTAGAGAAAAAAAAACAACCTCCAAACAAAATCAGGTGACAAAAGAGAGATTTTAGGAAAAATAACTTAAATAAGAAGGAATATGATTTAAATATTAAAATCATTCATCCGTTCAGCCAAACCAGCAGAGGAGGGGCTGAATGTTTTCACAGCGTGGACGGATTCACTTTTACTTGTCGACAAGAAAATTCTTCTCTCGACGCAAAGCATGGATCACCTTTCCCTCTGCTGGCTTCACAGCGTTGTTAAAGCAATTCTTTTGATTTAAAAAAAGCCGCACAGCATTTGGTCATTCAGCCAAAACTCAGAAAAACGGAAAAAATTTAGGATTTGTCATGAAATGTGAATCAACAAATTTGAAATTTAACCTTTCATTGAATCGTTTCTTGTGATTTTGTAGTGTTTTCATTTTTTTTGGGGTAGCTGCAGGAAAAAGATACAGTTCTGAAAATAAGGAGCAGTAAGGGAGGTTCACTACTGATGTGTCAGAAAAAAAAGTGTAGTTTTATTACAGATCTGTATCGAAGAGGGGTGGGCAGTCCCGATCCTCGACAGCCACAATCCAGCATGTTCTAGTTGTTCTCTGCTTGATCACACCTGGTTTGAGTTGTTGGCGACTAACAGGCTTTTGCGGAGCTTGATGCACGGCTGAACAAGTCATTCAACCAGGAACCAGGTGTGCTGGAGCAGGAAAACCACTAAAACATGCTGCATAGTGGCCCTTTAGAACCAGGATTGCCCACCCCTGGTAAAGGAGATAAAATCCAAATAAGAGAGCCCAAAGATGTGCAGAAACGACAGCATGAAAAGAAGCCGGTGAGGAAGAAGAGGATGAAGAGGTCACACCAAAGCCAGCCTGAACAGAGCTGCTCTCTAACAGAGACACTGATCTCAGGCGTGCACATTAGAGGAGACTATTTCTAAATAATCTCATTGCAAATTGAAATGTCTAGCCTACTGCTCAAAGGTTTGGGATTACTAGGAGAAAATTTGATTTTAAAGTAAAATAAGAAACCATCTTGAAACGTGACGTTTCCACTAACGAGGAGTGAGGTTTCAGATTATCACACGAACCCTCGGTGCGCTCATCACTTGACAGATTCCAGAGGAGCAGGGTGGCTTTGGTTTCAGCGGGGAGAGACGGGACGGAGGCAGCAGGAGGGGTGAGTGAAGCGGGTCACAGAGGTCACAGAGGAACCCGCCATGGGGAAGGAGTTGGGTTAACAGCTGCTCCGGCAACACACACAAATCCACCGTGGAGAAATAGAAATTCGAATGGGTTTGTACCTGTCCAGCGAATTGTTGGCCTCTTTCAGAAAACACTCCACAAAAGTTCAAGGATCTATAAATAATCTGATGTGAGCAAAGATCACAGCTGGTGATTACCCCCTCAGCCATAAAGGAGTTTTCCTCCCATGAGACCTCGAGGATGGACGTGATTCTGTTTTACTGAGCGGTCAGCCCTGAGCGCCGCTGTATCATTACGGCCTCTGCGTGTGCATAGATGTGAGCAGGGTGTGCCTTGGGAAGGCAGCGCCAGAGCTGAGGCTGGTTTAGTTTTGACAGACCACAAGCTTTGGAGTTGCTGAAACACACCTCCCACTGACAGACTCCCATATTACACTGCTGCTGGGAGAACAAGCAGGAAAAAAGGAAGCAAAGTGTTTTTGGTAATGAGAGAGTGAAGCTGTAGCTTTGAGCTCAAAATGGATTTTAGTAACAGACATCCATGTGTTTGCATCGTCCTGCTTGTAATCCCCCACCTTGTGTCCATGTCTTTGTAGCAGAGCTGGATAAGTCTCGCAGGAAAGTTCTGCTTTAGTCCATCAAAGTGTTTTGGAAAGCGGATCCTTCCATATTTCCCCCAAACCAGCAGCTCTTAATATATTTTATGGCATGGATCTCCTCCCTTACTCTTTTCTCCACAGCTGCGGATGGAGAGGAGAAATCAAACAGAAAAGTGAAGGAAGAGGACGGTTTGATTCAAGAAATCAGAAGATGAAGCTGCTCTTTAATCAGTGAGGGGCCATGGAGGTGGGTCGAGGTGCCTACTGTAATCCGATCCACGCTCATGCGCACGGCGTGCACGCACACCGAGGCAGGGGGATTGAGTGAGCTGTCCTGCTCGCTGACACAAACCCGGCGGAGATCGGAGGGGAAGGAAGGATTGAGCGCACTGCCGGAGCCTGCAGGGAGGTGGAGCGGACAAAACGCACGGCTTTCTGAACGGAGACCGGAGCAGAAGCCACGTTTTTAGCATCTCTAACGCACGCAAACCGGATCTGCCTCTCAACCAGACATGCCTCTTGACCCGGAGAGCTAACAGCTGCTGAGGCAGAAAGAGGAAACAAACATTTTCAGCTCTTTAAATAAAAAAAAATGCGCTCCTCACGAAGAGACTTCTGAAAGGAGATTTGGATCGATTCAAGAAGGAAAGATACTTTTTCTGTTTCTAAACTTCTTTGCGCATCTGTGACGATTCTACCAAGTGTTATTTCTCACTAATTAGTCATTTCCATTAAATGTGTACCGCGCGCGACAGTTGCGCGCGAACTCCGCGCTCCGCAATGGATTTGGTGCGATTAGAACTGAGTTAGCAGTTGAAATTACGCTGATTCCAGAACATTTTTGTTTTTTTACACATAAAGAAGCAACTCACATCAACTGTAAACCTGGGTCATATTCTGGGAGAGCCGCAACCCGGCGTTTGGATTGCGCTCTCTGGTAGCGTTGCGCTTAAAGGGAGAAGGGGACAGGAGAGTGGAACTGCAGCTTCAGATAAAACCAAATAAAACCCACCAGTAGGAGAGGACGTGGTTTTTTGTACCCGCACCTGGAGGAAAAGATGGATTTACTCGTTTGGTTCTGTGGATTTATTCTCTCGTGTCTTTTGCCTTGTTTAGTAAAAGCAGAGGAAGTGGGTAAGTTTGGCACGTTTGCTTCCCTCCTCAATCTGTTTTGTTTATTGGGGTTGAAATAAAAACATTCAATTGTGTTAATAAAATGTATTTAAGTTGTTTACACGAGCCTCAAATATGGCCAACGTGGTCCAGTTTATGCGCGTGAGACTCGGTGATTAGATTCGTGTCATCAGGAGGCTTCTCCGTGGTGGTGGGGTGTTCTCTTAACCCCCCTAAACGCACCAGAGCAGAGGGGTTGAGTTAAAAAATCGAGAATAAAACTAAAATCTGGTCAGGTGGTTTGTTCTGAGGAGGTTTCAGAGTGGATTCATCAGTCTGCGCTGCTGCGCTCAGCTCGTCCTATCATGGGATGCTGGCAGCGCTTCAGCAGGAACTCTTAACACCAAAGATGAACTTGTTTTACTGCCACTCTTCTGTTCTGAAGGGGATCATTTAATCAGAATTGTCAGTTTTTTCGTCCAGAGTTTGTGGCGAAACATTCCTCGACAGTTTTCCTGAAACCCTGGAAAGAATTCCCAAAAAGGGCAGAGATGTGATGTGGTGGCTGCGCTCTGGCGGGGTCCATATATGCCTCCTCCTAGCCTCACTCAGTTATTATCTGTGGCTTTTATGCGCGCTGCTTCCCGTGAGGGAAACTCCGCGTAAAAATCGGTGTTCTGTGCGTCTTTTTTTCCATCTTTACGCACAAGGAGAGCCACAAAGTGGTGAAGCGTTAGAGCACATTTAGTAAAACTTTGACAGCAGCTAGTTGGGATTCAAAGAGGGGGGTAAATGAGGAGCTGGTTGCATCCTGGGGTTTATTGATTTGGAGCTGCGTAAAGGGGACTTTGTGGATCTCATGACTCCAGTTAATCAGCGTATTTGGAGAGGCAGACATGTTTTTTCTGTTTTGTGCAGAAACTCAACTTAAACTCTAAATATTCAGAAAGTTTTCTTCCCACCATTTCCACTCATCTTTAACGCCCTAATGCTGTTTTTGAACCAATTTCTGCCAATTCTTCTGACTTGTTCTCATCTGTGTGCACAAATCAAGGTAATTCCTCAGGTGCTGTCAATGTATTTCATTCAGACACCTGTTGTTGTTCCTGAATATCTGCTGACAATAAGAAATCCTTCTTTTTTTAGTCAGAGGATTCCCTCCAGCTCTCCCCACCGGCACTCTGACTCTGACACTTTACTCTCAGCCTTGCAGGATGGAGCTTCCTCAGCACTAAACTTTCATAGATGCCTCTTCTTTGCTGTCTCTTGAGAGACAAGCGCGGGGAGAAGTGTGTGTGTGTGTTTGTGTGTGTGTGTGTGTGTGTGTGTGTGTGAGTCTATAGCAGAGATGGAAGTACAGAAGGAGGAAGCCGCAGAGACAGACACAGGGCTGGGAAGCTGGAAGAAGAAGGGAGCGAAACGGAAGAATGATTTTTTTAGCCTCGCTGTTTGATCCTGTTTCTTCTTTCAGTTTGATCACAGCTGTGTCTGGAAGGCAGATAAACGGACATAATTGGCCACTCAAGACCAGCTGTCTGCCTCTATGGTTGTCTCTGCTGAAATATGCTGGATGATGAAACAGGATTACCAGGAAACAGAGTTGGAAGAGTAAAATCCCCACAGATTGCATTAGACCTATTAGAGTTACTCTTTCATAAACTTAGAGCAATTTAAAAAAATCTGACACAGAAAGCACATTAGGAGGTTTCAACTCAAGATGCATGCTGCAAAATCAAACACCCCAAGTGTTTAATAGCCTCCAGCTTTACTCTTACATTACCCAGATGCAGGGTGGTGGAGTCTGCTTGCAATAATTAAATGTTACATCGGCGCAGGTCAGAGTGCTCTGTAAGCGTCAGTTGACCATCAGTGAAACAAATCTTCCATATCATTTGTTCTCTTAATGAGGTTGTGCCATCATTTTAGCTGGCTGCATCATGAAATGTCACAAACACAGTTCATTTAGATAATTGGGTCCAGTGAGGAAGAGCTTCATATGTCTTTAAAAACAAATTTTTCCTTCCAGTAACGAGAATTACTGGACAGCAAGACTTGAGTCAGCTTCAAATGAGTTTCGTTATTGTTGCATGAAACAAAAATGCAGATAGATGTTTCACATACGAAGACAAATGATGTTCGTTATTGCTGCAGGGTTGGATGTGTTGATTTACTGAAACAGGGATGGAAATTATAATATAAAATTTATTTATGATTCCTTGCCTATACCTTCCTGCCAGCATTTCCCACTGAAACGGTGAAAATGAGAGGGTGAGGAGGAGAGATGGGCAAAGTTTGAGGAGCGTAAAGAGAGAGAGGCCAAGGAAAGAAAGTGAGAGGGAGTCGCTGAGTGTGAAGCAGCAGTTGAGTGGAGCCACCTGCAGTAAACCAATCCAGATTTATTCCTCCTCTCTGCTGTGCACAGGAGGACTTCTGGTTCAGGTCTAACGTTAAATAGACTCTGATTAAGCTACCCTGAAGGTATAAGATTTCAGAGCATGTCACAATTAAACAATTTAAAGAAGCACGGCACGAGCGTCTGCTCTTTTGTCACAGCTGGAAGGCGTTTCATCAAAATCACACAACATATGTAAAACAGTTCTGTTCACAAAGCAGAGAAAAGCCCATTTCTGCGTTTTTACTGAGTCAGAACCAGAACTTATGTAACGACTGCCGAGCTGCAGCAGGTGACGCTTTCCTGGAGACTTTTCTCGGATTTGGCTTTATTTATCCTGTAACCGGTGTTTTCTAGCAGGTTTCAGGATGAGCAGTTATCCGCTTTCGTTTGGTTGCTCAGATGATGAAGTGATGAGAGATTTTGCTCTTGTTTTCTTGCAAAGGCGCAAGAATAGATCTAATTAGTTGAGCAACTTATAAGAAAGCCCTCTAATGCCCTAATAGCAGTGGCGAGCAGAGAGGTGGGGATGGAAGAGTTTTCTTCTATCAACAAGTCGAACAAACACTGAGTCAATTATCGTTTCGTGCATTCTCCCTCCTTCTTTGTCTCATCTGTAGAAGAGAAAGAACAATTAGTGTGTCCAGCAGCACGATCTAATTACAGTTATCATGTCATTAGTAAACTGTTAGTATTCTGGTGTCCTTGCTGGCCTTTAGTAATGAGCTTACTAATTATAGAGGACGTGTCTCTGCTTGTGTTGACACACTTGTGAAGAAAAAATATCCTCAGATGGCAGCGGAGATCATGAAAACCCTTCAAATTGTGATGTTTACTCGTCCTCGCCCGTTTAAAAGCTTCCCACACACAGAAAAGTGTGTGTGTGAGTGGGGGTGTGTGTGTGTGTGAGCTGAGTCCCCAGAGATGAGTGTGGTGCAAGGCCACAGGTTGTTTTCCTCTCTCTCTTCGTTCACGCTGAATCATCATCTCTAATAGCTCTCTCAGTCTCTTTATCCACACTTCCCTCTGTCAGTGTTTTCCCTCGCCCCGCTTAAGAAAGCTCCCTCACCTTCTGTTCCCGCCGCTCCGACACGCTGGGAAATCTCTTTTACTGTTTCAGACGCTCTTTGTGTTTACTTCTTTCTGCCTATTGTCTCTCACTCTGTCAATCCATGTTCTCTCACACTTGTTGGAAATCCATTCACGCGACTTGTTAGAGACACTCATTCAGACATAGCAGGAAAGCCTGATGTGTCCCATTGAGTAGGCTGTTTTTTTATGTTTATAATTAAAGAAGTTAAATGGATTCAGCATCTGTTGGCATTTAGAGAATCTTCCTATAGAAACATCTAGAATTACAGTAACATCTTGTAGTGGTATGTGGTAAATCTCCATATGTAGAGAACAACATTTATAAAAATGTGCTCGACAAACTTACCTTAATTAAAAAAACATATTTCAAAGGTCAGAAATGAGTGAAAAATGTGTTTTCCACTTATATATATATATATATATATATATATATATATATATATATATATATATATATATATATATATATATATATATATATATATACATACATATATATGCGTGTATATATGTATATATATGTAAATGTATATATATATATATATGTATGTATATATGTATATATATATATATATATATATGTAAATGTATATATATATATATATGTATGTATATATGTATATATATATATATATGTAAATGTATATATATATATATATATATATATATATATATATATATATATATATAGCCTTTATGATTTTATTTTCTTTATGCAAAAATGTTTCAGGACGAGACTGTCTGCAAGACTTAAAGCATGCACAAGTCATCACTTGTAGTCATGTGACCAAATCTATCCATCCATTATTGATGCCTGTTTGTCCATGCAGGGTCGGGGCTGGTGACCAGTCATACCCAAACAGGGGGTACATCCTGGACAAGTTGCCAGCCACACATGCACACACTCACATTTTCAGACTGTGGGAGGAAGCCGGACTACCTGGAGACAACCCATGCATGCACAGGGAGAACATGCAAACTCAGGGAATCAAACCCAGGCATTGACAGAGCATTGAGCACTGTATAGCCCCAAGGACTCTTTTAATATCTGTTCAGATCATCCTGCATCTTCAGACTGATAAAATATAAACTAACATCAACACTTTACTGACCTGAAATAGGCAGACTATCAGGTCTGCAGAGCATAAAAGTCATAATGAAATGAAATAAATGTCCATGATATGGTGAGCAAGATGAGTAAAAGTGACACAAATCTAAATAATTAAATTTTCTGCCGTAATTAACCTAGTTAAAAAGCCTCACTTTCAGTTTATTAATATGAGAACGTCTTGATTACTCTGCTGTCATGTTTGATCAATTACTATAGTTTAGTCGTTATTAAATCATGTGTTGTAGTCGTTTAAAGACCCTGCAGGTTTTACATGTTTACCTGCTCCCATCATACATGAATCAAGCAATTTAATCATCTTCTTAACACGTTTAGTTCTGCAGGATTCAGTTTAACACTTTTCCTTTACAATCAGATGAAGAAATTATTTATAAATAGCATCTGTCAAGAAAGAAATCAAGAGGTGCT